CAATACCCTCAAACAAGAAAATAATATTTTTCATTAAAAATTTAAAAAATTTTAATTTTCCAAGGAGTATATAAATCATTCTACATATAACCCTAATATAATGCCAGAAAACAGTAGTCAACATAATATGTCAAGTTACAGCTAACACAACAGAAATATGAGAAGTTTTTAGAGAAATCCATGAATAATCATATGCCCGTGCATTGGACAACCTAGAAGAAATGGAGAAGTTCCTAGAAGAGTACACATCCAAGACTGACCCAGAAAGAAGCAGAAAATCTAAACCAGCAATGAAATTGAATTTGTAATAATAAAAAGTTCCCAGTAGAAAAAATTCCAATGCCAGCCAGCTTCACAGCTAATTTCTACCAAACATTTAAAGAAAACACAATACTGAACTTTTTAAAAGTATTGCAAAATGTAAAAGAGAAGGCAATACCTTGCAAACTTATTCTGTGTGGGCAGCATTATACAAAAAAAACAAATTAAAGACACTACAAAAATAAAACAATAAACCAATATCCTTGATGAACATAGATACAAAAATTCTCAACAAAATATTGGCAAAATATGTTCAAATATATATCAGAAGTTCCATCCATGACGAAGTCAGGTGAATTCCAAAGATTAAAGGATGGTGCACTATTCAGAAATCAGTCAATGTGACACACCATATTACAAAAAAGGATAAAAATCATGTGATCACCTTAATAGATGCTAAAAAAGCATTTGAAAAAATTCAATATCCACTCATGATTAAAAATTACAAATAAAATGGTTCTAGAGGGAACAAACCTCAACAAAGTAAATGCCATATGCAGCAGACCCAAAGTTAACATCATACTAAATAGTGAAAACATGAAAGCTTTTCCTCTAAGATCAGGAACAAGACAAGGATGTCCACTCTCTCCACTTTAATTCAACGAAGTATAGGAAGTCCTCGTGAAGGTAATCAGAAAATGATAAAGAGGGAAAAAACATGAAATTGGTATGGATGAAGTAATACTGTCACCATTTGCAGATGAAATCATACTACATATAGAATACACTAAAATCGAAACCAAAATGTATTAGAAAATTAACTGGATTCAACAAAGTTGCAGGACATAAAATTAATAAACAGAAATTTGTTGCATTACTATATTCTAACAATAAAATAGCAGAAAATGAACTCAAGAAAACAATTCCATTTACAGTTGCATCATCCAAGAGAATAAAATTCCTACAAATAAACCTAACCAAGGAGGCAAAAGACATCTACCTTGAAAACTCTAAGGCATTCATGAGTGAAAATACAAAGGACAAAAATCAATGGAAATCTGTACCTTGCTAATGGATAGGAGGGGTTATTATTGTCAAAATGCCCATTGTCTGCAATGTAATGTACAGCTTCCATACAATAAATATCAAAATATCAATGGCATTTTTCAAAGAACTGGTGCAAATAACCATAAAACCCACATGAAACCACAAAAGACTCCAATAATCAAAGCAATCTTGAGAAAGAAGAACAAAGCTGAGGGTATGTTTCCTTATTTCAAGCTATATGACAAAGCTACAGTAAACAAAACAGTATGGTATTTATGTAGGAATAGACCCAGAGATCAATAGAAGAGACTAGAGCACAAATAATCTCTGGTAAATTAATATATAATACAGTTGCCATGAAAATACAAAGAGGGATAGTCTCTTCAATAACTTTTGTTGTGAAAACTAGACAGCTACATACAACACAATGAAACTGTATTACTGTCTAACTCCAAACATAAAAATAAACTCAGAATCAATTAAAGTACTAAATGATGACATTGATCCACGAAGCTCTATAAAGAAAATAAAAGCAAAACCTCTTGAACATACAGGAGCAATTTTTTTTTCTGGACACATCGCAGATAAGAGAAACAAAATATAAAAAGGAACAAGTCGGACTACATCTAACTAAAAGCTTCAGTACAGCAAAGGACACCATCAACAGAACAAAAAGACAAGCTACACTATGGAAAAATATATTCATTAATGATTTCTCCTATAAGGGGTTAACATTTAAAATATACATAGAAATCCTGTGCCTCAACACCAACAAAATAAATAACCTGATTAAAAAATGGGTAGAAGACCTTAACAGACCTTCTCTCAAAAGAAGAAATACAAATGGCCAACAGGTACTTAAAGAGATGCTCCTCCTCATTAATCATCATGGTTTTGCAAATCAAAATGACATGAGATATCAGCATCACTTTGACTGAGTTCCCTGGCATTTGTGACTCTAAGAGTTGTGCAAACTAAGTGCAAAACTGAGTCTCCAGCAATTAGTGAATTGCAGTTCAGGTTTTCCTACCCATCCCTGTGCTGATTCCAATGGTGATTTTCATTTGAGAGTCTACATTTAGTTAAGGCATGGCTTTCAGTATGAGCCTGCCTGTAACTCCAGTTTTCTGGAGAACTAATATATACCACGGTGACTATAAGTAGGACTAATATATTGTGTACTTGAGATTTTCATAGAAGGAAGATCCTGTTTTCTAATGACACACACAAAATATGGTAATTATGTGAGATGATTGCTGTGTTAATTATCATAATTGTGGTAATTATTTCACAATGTGCAAGTATGTAAAAAATTTAATTCTCGTATTAATACATCAACTAAAACATGGGAAAACTAATATTTTTAATACCTGTGACATAATTCCCACATATTTATTCAATTATAACATCTAATGCACTAGTAATCTGAAAAATGCAACTCAGACAAAGATGACACACAACTAAATAAACATAAAATAGCAGCAATTAGAAAGCTAGGTTTGACCATATTTAGCATAGTTCTGAAAAAAGTGCCATGTTGGTGAATTGCTGATGGGAGTTTAAATATGTGAATTTTTCTTTTCTGAAAACAGAAATATTTTATATGCTTAGGATTGTAACTACTTAGATATTCATGGACTATGGAATAAATGGGTGAAGTATGGTGAGTGGTATGAAAGTCAATGCAATTAGTACAAATTTGTATATTTAGTTTTAAGTTCAAAAGCTTTCACTGACCCACTTGATTTAAACAAAAACCAACAACAGATATTACATTACAACCAAATGTATAAACACAGATAGAGGCATTCAGTATGAATTAAGCCTTCAGTACTAATTGCATTTGAAGGAAAAATATTTTTGGCCACTGCCCATTGAGACCTGAATGCCAGCTTTCATAATTTGTTAAACAAAAGATTATATAATATTACAGTAGACCAAAATTATCTAATATCCAGGCATCTTTGAATTAGCAAATACTTTTTTTCCTGAACATATAACCCCCATCATTTCTGGAACAAAAGTATTCTACCATACAAAATTATCCATTATAAAACAGTAATAATTGTATAAGCAGTTCTGAAAGGTACTGAGAACAAAATATATTTCCCTGTGATTCATACAGCTTGTGCTAAAGTCTGTTTTCTTGTCCAATCTGCATTGTCACTTGCTTCTCCTGGATCTATGTTTTGATTCATTGCCCCTCACTATTTCCTGTTAGTATTGTTGTATATATTGGAGTGTAAATAAATGAATGTGACCACATTATTGTAATTTTCTTAATCTTTGCTTTACTAAACTCTTTATATTTATGTTAAGCATTAAAACTTCACTAGAAGCATCTGTTTCCTATGTTGGATATGATTACATATTGTTCATCTACATTTTTTTCATGTCTACTAACCAGTAACCTCTTATAAACTGGTGATTTTATCAGCTGCCTTTTGCTCACCACAACTAGGTCGTTGAGTTACAGGAACCCTGAAAAAATTTTATACTGTATATGTTACAAATATGATTGAATCCATTTATAGGTGTAAGTACTTCTCTTTGTAATTGCCCAGAAAAAGCCCAGGTTATATTCTCATAGATACAGTAAGTAGAAAACTGAAAAAAATTATGTAGTTCAAATTATATATATATATATTTATTTATTTACATAAAATTAAGCATATACACACATATTTAATGCAAATGTATACATAGTTATTTAAACATTAGATCTTCATATGTTTATTTCTATAGCTTTCATATATATTATACATAAAAATTGTATTTATTTGCATTTATGTTTTATATATTTATTTCTATATGCATATATGTACAGACATATACATATATAGGTATTTGAAATGGAGAACTTTATTTCAGTATTATACCCCTTACGTTTATGAAAAGCAATAGACCTGTGTGTCTAAATATATTAAATGTCAAAAAAAGAAGAAATTATGGCACAATATGGCAGTTTGTTATGACTATGTTTGCAACTTAGTTTTTCTCAATGAAATCATTGTTCCTGTAAGAAAAGACTTTCTTTTGACATCTTAATTCACTCACATCATGAGAAGGTAAGAACAAAAATTTACTACTGTATGTTATATTTCAACAAGAGAGTGAATGTAAGAAATTATTTTTACACAATCCATAATTTAATTCAAATGATTAAATACACCTAATTTATTTATAAATCCTTTGAAGTATAAAATAATTATGGGGCTTAAATTTTAACTATATTTGAATTTTAGATTAATGGTTAAAAGGAACTCACTTTCCACTTTGAATATTGAAAATAATATTTCCAGTCACACACACATACAAACTCTTTTAGGGAAATGAACTATTCTAATAAACATTCTACCAACAGCACACTTAATTTCCCTATTTCGTAGACTAAAGATAATAGGGTTTGCAAAGGGGGGCACCATACAATAGAACATGGCTCTAAGAAGGTTTTGAATGGTTGATACATGTGAAATGGGGCTCAAGTAAGCAAACAATGCAGACATTACAAATAGGATGAAAGTAGCTATCTGGGGGGAGCAGGTTGACAGGGCTTTATTCCGGGCTTCCGCAGAACGCATCTGGAGCGCAGCTGAAAATATGTGAATGTATGAGCTGAATAAGATGACAGAGCAGAGTAAAACAATGCAAGCACTTACAGCAAGAGTCACACACTCAGGACACTGCACCTCCTAGGATGAGATGCTCAGGACTTGAGGAACATCACAGAAAAACTGGTGAATCACATTGGATACTGTGAAGGGAAGTCTGAACATGGTCCCTGTGTGGACAGCAGAGTTGACCAGCCCACCTGCCCATGAGACACCTGCCACCTGTGTGCACAGACGTGGGGTCATGGTGAGCCCATAGTGCAGAGGATGGCAAATGGCAACATAGCGGTCATAGGACATCACCACAAGGAAGAAGATCTCTGTGGACCCAAAGAAAATGTACAGGAAAGTCTGAGCAGCACATGCTTTGACAGAAATCAGTTTACTGCCTATTAGAGAATTCATGATCGATTTGGGAATGATAACTGAGATGAAACCAAAATCTATGAGAGATAAATTACCTATAAAGAAGTACATAGGGAAGTGAAGACTGGAGTCCATCACGATGATAATAATGGTCAGAAGATTTCCAGCCAAGGCACCCAGATAAATTACTAAGAACATGAGACCTCGCAAGATTTCAAGTTCCCGGGAACTGGAGATATACATGAGAACAAATTCTGTGAAGATGGTGAGATTGTCCATGTCTACTAACATGCTTTGTAACCTCGAGTCTGAAGATGATGTAGTAAGATGATGCTACAATCAAAATAGAGAACAAAATGATTGTTATATATTATAAAATATTTTTTATGAATTGATTACTGACTTTAAGGTTGCATGCCTTATAATCACCAAGCAATGTGCAGTACATATTAGTCAAATGAATGAAATCAATAAAATGAAATACAGGAAAATACAGAAATGCTATAACTGTAAACTGGATATCTTAGAAATTTGTAAAATGGAATTTAAAATTCTAAATTACAGTCCCACAAAGATCTGAACATGATGAAAAAACAGATATACCTGAGAGCTTAGACATGAGGTCTGTCTTCCCACACACCAGCATTTCTTACAGAATCACTAAAGTGCAATACCATTGTCCTTCATTTTATTTCATGACTCATAATCCTGAGAGCCCTTTCTCAGAGTGTATCATTACACTAAGTCACATGAGGAAGTGTGTACTGTTTCTCCGTTTTGTACTGTCATTTCTTTCTGGAGGGCACTGTGGTACTTATACACCTTACAGCCCTCAGAGGAACTAATAATTGCAGACTCCTGAAAAGCTGAGACCTTCAACACCTTGTTATATTTTGGCCAATCCAGTGAGATTAATTAGATTCATAATAGATTTTTTTAGGAGATAACTTTGACTAGAGGTTTTTAAACTACCTGAAAAAACATAATTTCTCTAAAATGGGGTCTGGGTCAGTGTTGGTTTAATAACATTTCAAAGTTAATGCCTCATGATAATAAGAGCAATATACTTGGAGTGAAAATTAAAACTATATAATATAATGTTTTATTTGTATGAATATTCATATATAAATATTATAACATATTGAAATTAAAGTAGTATCAATACAATTATCACTTTTGAAAAATAAATGTCTAAAAATGTGTGAAAATAGGAAATAAAGCAAGATCTATTGACCCACCTCTCACATCTACAATTAAGTGTTTGAAACAGCCTCAATGTCACCAACATTAATAGTAAATAAACTAGCATAAGTTTGAAGATCACAAGACACAGAATACAACAGGAAAATGTCTATTAAAGCAAAATGCAAGATCCTACCCTTAAAGCTTAGAATTACTCTCTGCTCCATTACTGCTTTTGAAGGATAGTAAAGAAAGAATCCTGACTGATTTTGAGATGATATCATCAATATTTGAGTAGAAAGATGTTGAGGTAAGTCCAGAGTGGGGAAAAAAGTAAATGTTCTACATTTCATTATCACGATCCCAAAGTGGTATTCTCTCTCTCCGGTGAGGAGAGATGTCATGAGGAGGGCATGCACTACTTCAAAATAGTAATGAGTTTTAAGAAACAGCAAAAAAGTAGATTAGTCTGAGAAGTAAAGATAACATGGATAAAGACTAAGCTAAAATAATTTTCACTGTTTAAAGCTTAATAAGTTAGCTGAATTAATAGAATTAGATCTCCAAAGCTTCAATGCCCTAATAGTTTTGTGTTGGGACTAAGGATGATGGCTTTGAAAACTTCATTTATTTCATTTTCTTACATTTTATGTATTTCAACAGTTTCATTTCGGCATAATTGATATACAGAAACTGCATATTTAGCATATTCAGTTGACATGTTTGGACATATGCAAATAGCTATCATACCATCATAACGACTAAGGTCATGGGTACAGCCAACATCTCCCAGAGTTTCCTTGTTATCTTATGTGTGTTTGTGCAGGATCGTGTGTGTGGTAGGAACATTACCTGAGATCTACTCATTTAGTACATTTTGAAGTGCAGAATACTCTGTGGGCTTTGCCCCACATAGCGGTGGCAGAAAGAACTACCCAAGAGAGGAAAGTCAGGAGAGCTGAGAGGGAGGCTAAGGGAGGTCTCCCCAAACTGCTCTCAAGCTCTCATATTTATTAAGCCTACATTTACAAAAGCAATGTATGGTATGTCAGAAGGCTACGTGCTGAACAGGATGCTGCAGGGAACGTGCAGGCAGTCAAGTACAGCCATTTCCATGACTTCAAAGGAGAGTAAAATCCTAAGCAACTATGAATAGATAAGCAAAGCATGTTGTGCTGTTTTCAACATGATGAGGAAGCAGTGTTCTGCTTTGCCGGGTGGCCCTACAGTACAGCTTTCCAATCCAGGACATAGCCATTTGGTCCCCCACATATTCCCATTTTTGGTTCTAATATCCTTCAACCTTCTCAGAAAACAGCAACATAACCAGCTCTTGCTCATGATGCTTGGAGTTGGTCATAACGATACAAATCATTCATAAGGCTATGAGAAAAATGAAAAAGAGTAACAGACCAAGAGCTACAATGACCCGATACATAAATTAATGCTATGGAATCATTTTGTTGTGTAACCATTTCATGATATTGGATGAATCTTGTTCAACCTGTATTTGTGTTTCTGGTTAGATGTCAAGTAATTGTTGATGTAATTGAGTAGAGAGAGCATTAATTCCCATCTGAAGATTAGAGGAAAAGGCTCCTTGCAAGTGTCGATTTACAAGGTCCCATGAGTCCTGGGATTGATCATACGGCAATGGGGTGACACAGATTTTGTCATGTTGCCAATCACATTGCATGTGTTGTTGATCAATAGAGCTTGTTTCTGGTCCCTAAGCCACTCAAGAGCAGCCTCCATAGCCTGCAGCCTCTGCATAATGCCCTCATCAATTTGTGTTGGTGTTATTATTGCTCAAGTGATGTGAGTCATAAAATGGATAACTACCTGTAGATTAGGTAAAATTGCAATATTTCCAGAATCCCTCACCTGGCCTTCTCCACATCAATAGGTAATTACAAGGTGAGCAGTGAATATCTGACTGGAGAGGTTTGGTGGGTCTTTTTTGCAGCCAGGTTGTGATAGACATGGGTAAGCAGAAGTGAACAACTGTGTGTAATCAATAAAGGGGTTTCTCCCATTTCATTTCTCCCTTTGACTGATTTCAGTCAAAGCTATTTTGCCCCAGGCTGGGAAAATATTTTCCCACTGGAGTTACACTACCATAGCCATGTGAATAGATTCAGTAAGAGACACTGCTGCTACAGAGACAGTAGCTAAAATAATGAATGCAGAAATGAAGAAAACAGTGCACCATCCCGTAAATTTCTTGGGTCTCCATTTAGATATGGCAAGAGTTAATTTAGCAAGACCATTGAACTCTTCCCAGGGTTGTGTCAAATTTACCAGAAAAGAAACTTCAGACTTTTTAATATAACCACGTGTGAAACATTGAATTTAGTCACTTTATAATGACTAATGAAGGACATATACCAAACCATGGAAGTCACAGTAAAAATATAATATGTGTTGTCAAAAATCATATCTAAATTGTTGCTTGTCATTAGGAAGATATAAGGATGAGCAGTCCTCAATAGCATACTATTAGACATACTATGGGTGAAAGACATGGGAGTGCAAGTCCAAGTGGGACAGTCCTGGGGCAAAATACCTCCAAAACCAAAATTAGTCAAAGGGAGAAATTGAGGTAAGAGACCTGTTTATTTCTTGCAGACAGTCATCCCATATCTCTCTTGACCAGGCTGCAGCAGAAAAAAGCTCACAAAACCTTCCCTGTCCAAATAAACCCTCTCACATGCTTGTAATTACCTATTGATAGTAAGATGGACTACTAATCTCCACCCCTTGGAAACACCAATTGATATGCAGATGCATCAAAACCAGATGAGAGATTCTGGAAATATTACAATTTTATCCACAGCCCATCAATGCAGAAATCTCACCTCACAATGTACACATTCCCCATTTTCTGCAATGGCCCTGTTCAAGAAAACTGGATCATTGCAAGGAGGCTAAAAACATAAAATAACAAAAGCAATAAAATCATGATAATCCTCAAGTTGGAGGCTTCAGCTAGGTTCAAAGTCCTAGGCAGATTAGGTCCAAAGCTCACCTACTCCACAGGCAGTAAGAAGCTAAACAGGTAATTCAGAGCAATCATCATGTCACACCTGTAGCCAGGGGACACATCCAGGCCATAAGGACTGTATAAGAAAATAACCTTAAGGGTGATAAGATTCATGTTTTAAATGACTCCAGCATAGGCAACACTTCCATCAGGTAGGATGAATGAAAGGGAGTTGTCCTATGAAAGGACAGTGGCAGGAATGGGATCTCATCATTGTCTAGCATACCAGACTTTCATCCCTCTCCCTGTGGGAGTTACAGGTGGGTCATTATGTAGGGCTGTGGGAGGTACATTCACTGGCCATAAAGATAAAACAAAATTTCCCAGTAAGATGCTTTACCTCAAAGATGTATTTGGTACACTACTGTGACTTTGGGGCCCACTCTGCTGTTCCTCCAGGAATACACATGAAGCCAGCTTCAAGGCCTTTTTCCCAAAGTGCCAAAAGGGCCAGCCATCTCTTGTCCATGTGACAAAATGTCCGGGGCCATGTCCATTCAACAGTGTCTCCAGGGCTTACTGCAGTAGGGGCTGGCAGCAGGATTTACTCTGTTGGCCATATCCCGGCTTCAATAACTCCTCTTTGGTTAGCACAGGCAGGTGTATAGGAGACCCAGCAATGTGTGTTAGCATATCCACAGGGCTCAAAGATCCTTTCCAGGGCTTCTCATTCAAACACCATAGCACTGTCCATAATTGAACTGACCCACCAAATAGACTACTGGTATCTGATTTCATGTCAGATTTCAGTAAAACATTGTACCTCTCTGTCATGCTTTCTCCAGGAGGTTTATATGGTACATGAAACTTATACTTTATTCCTAATTGCTGCACTCATCCTTGTAATGTATGTACAATAAAGTGGGTGCTTGATCACTCAATGACCTGTGGCTGGCCATAGGCTGCACAGAGATGATCTAGACCCCCCTTGATGATTTGCTGATTTGCACCACATGACAGAAAAGCAACCAAAGGCCAGTAGCTGTATCCATACAAATCATGGCATACCTTCTGTTATGGGCAGAGGAACAATATAGTCTATCTGCAACCAGGC